ACCAACACAGATAGGAAGATTGCGAACTACTGAATCAGAAACAATAACTTTCCCCGAGGCTAAGCTAACCTCGAGAGGATCACAAGCATGCACGGTGCTAAGAGATAAGGCCTCCAAACAACGAGACGAAATGAAAGAATGGGTAGCACCGGTATCACACAAAGAAAAAACAGGCACATGGGATATAGAAAGCATTCCGGACATGGTACCTGCATTACGAGCGGCCTCATCATGGGTGAGGGTATAGACACGAGCCTGACCTCCAGTCCTCTGCTGGAACGGTGGGGGTTGCTGCTGCTGCTGGTGCGGTGGTGGGGGAAGCTGCTGCTGCTGAGGAAGACGCTGCTGCTGCTGCTGCTGCCTCCTGGGCTCTGGACAGACACTGGCAAAATGGCCCGCACGGTTGCAGTTGTAACAAGCTCGCTGGTCTGCTAAGCACTCCCCTGCGTGGAACCTGCCGCATTTAGGGCACCTCGGCATTTGACCCTGAGTGGGTCGGTCGTCACGTCTGCCAAAGTTCCCTTTCTTGCCCTTGCCCTTGTTCTTGAAGTCAGACTTCCTCTTACCCGAACTAGAGCCGGGCGGCACGGTCGAGATGGGCTGAGCGTACTGGATAACCTGAGGAGGCTGGGAGGCAAGAGGGTAGGATGGAATGGGAACAACCGGAATGAGGCAGCTCTCCACCTCCTGGGCTCGGCTCACGGTATCAGCATAGGACATCGGTCCATGACTTCCCACTAACTCGCGGATCCTCTGGTTGAGACCCTTGAGGAACTTCCGGGCCTTCTTAGCATCAGTGTTCACCGCATCACCCGCGAAAAGGCACATACGGGTGAAGGTGCGGATGTACTCATCCACTCTGGAACTGCCCTGCTGCAAGTGATAGAATTCGTGCTCCATCCTGTCCCAAAAGCTCTGAGGAAGGAACTTACTGCGCACCATCACCTTCATTTGCTCCCAAGTGAGAGCATGAAGCTCTGCCTCGGGCCTCCGAGCCCAAATCTCAATCCACCAATCTGAGGCGTCTTCCTTCATCTGATACGCCGCAAGAGACACGCACTGACGGTCGGGAAGGGGAAGCACAGCAAAGATTTTGTCCAACTCCTTCATCCACTCAAGCACAGCTGTGGGGTTCTTCGTCCCCGAGAAAGTAGGCGCATTCATGCGCTGAAACTTAACAATCAGCTGGGTGAGGTCCATGGCCGGAGGGGCCTGGCACTGACGACGAGGAGGAGAAGGAGATGGGGATGGCTGACGGTTACGGTTGCGAGTATTCATACTTCTACATTGAATAGACCGAGCAAAGTTAGCACAGAAAACAAACATATAATACCTCAGAAGTCCAGAGTTCGCCACAAACACTAGAGTTCGATTAAGTCAAGCTGGATAGATCCTAAGCCCCAAAGATAACAAGTAACTCGCAAGATCATCACGAGTAGTTTCATTACTACAAGTGCATCAATTACATAATAAGTATTTTCATTAATACTTAAGCAAAACATACCTTAAGCAGCGCGGAGTGACGGAGACGAGTGGTCATAACGCAAGGTCTAAACACATAATCATATATGTGCCAGTCTACAGAAACGCAGACTGGCTCTGATACCAAAACTGTAACACCCCACTTGAATTTAAAGAAATTTCGGATTTTTCAAAAACCAGTATAAAATTTCCAAACTCATTTTCGAAATTCTAGTGGGTGTTATCTATCACAATTTAACTAGTCCAAGTCGTGTCTGGACTCACGGGGATTCATAAACCCGATTTTCGCAAGGTTTTCATTAACCTGATACACATCTCATATGAACAATGGAACATCCAAATCAATCACCATAATTATCCAAGGGTCAAAAGTGATTACCAAATTATTCCCATCCTTAAACATAGTTCGAAAACATGATTAGGGTTCATAAAGACCACATGATTAAAAACGGAAACAACAACACATAAATGACCACCACTCGTCCATCATCCCGTCATCCGGCCACTGCTTAACCTGCATCCGTGAAGAGCAGGTGGGAATGAGCATAAATGATAAAGTAGTGCTC